GAAACTTAACAAAGAAAACTAAAATGTGGAAATCACTAGAAGGGTAAGACTGATATGGGTAAAGTTTGGAGAATTCAGTTAGATACTTAAGAACCGCAAAATACCTCAATACTTAAGGAGCAAAAGTATTCAACTAATTCATCTTTTCTATCATGGCATATGGATGTTACACTTGGACACTAACAAAGAACAATATGAATAAACTAGCAACAACAGAAAGGGCAATGGAAAGACCAGTTTTAGGTACACGATTATCATATAAAAAGGGAACGACTGGGTAAGATTAAAAACAAATGTTAATGATATCACAACAAAAACCACTGCTAGACCAAAATACCAACATTAGAACGCCACAATACAACACTGGAGACCTTATCAAGGTAAAGGACCAAAAGAAAGACCACAGACGGGAAGAATGAATAAAAAAATGCCAGAATAAATTGGAAGTATGTTGATTAGAATATAAATCGATGGAAGAAGTTGTAAGGGTTACATATTTAAAAATTGAGGAGAGAAGGCTAAGAATAGTTAATTAGGCTGTAGCAATATTGGCCATGGCCTACATGAAGCTTCCCTAGCAGCCAAGATAGGGAAACATGGATATCTAAGATTCGAACTATCAAGAAATGATGTAACTGTATTTTTTCAATAGTCAACGGACAAGAGAAAATTTCTAAATTAATGATTTATAAACTGTAAAGTATCTTTCCTCTTTCTCTAAACAAAATAGAATTATAAAAGTTAAATATCAGAGCGACCAAGTTATAAGTATGGTGTTCTGGAGGCAATATCAATTAAATATGCTTTTACTAACATAAGCAATGTAATAATCTGGTACATATAATATGAATTAGCGAGAGCGATTAATAAACCTTGAAGGTGCAGTGGCAAATAGTTCATGGAAATTTTATCCAAATAACGAAGGTTGCGACAATATATTCGTCTGTGTCAGTGCTGAATAATACTGTGAATTCAAATGTAACTAATTCGTTCCTCATGTTGCACGTTCAATAACATGGATGTGATTTTATTTGAATGAAACTACGTTACTTGAATGAAATATTTTTTTCCGTACATATACCAGTGGTTCCATAAGATATCTTTTTATAGCAAATGTGAAAACAACCCTTGTCCTTTATCGTACTATGATTATTTCTTTCTGTTTTTTTTATTCTTTCCATTTTCTGATTTTAAACTATTATTTTATTTAATGCCATCATTTTGAAAGTTATATATATATATATATATATATATATATATATATATATATATATATATATATATATATATATATATATATATATATATATATGATAAATATAATCTTTGACAATGCTATTTATTATATTTAAAAAGATGCAGCTCGGGAAATTTCAGAAGTAAAATACTCAGGGTTGAGTATTCACTAGGCTCAACGAAGAGCTGGTAAAAATACTTCTTCTTCTTCTTCTTCACTGGCATTACAACTCGGGGTGAGCCTTCGCCCCATCCATTATCGCCCTCCATCCTATACTATCTTGAGCTTCTATTACCCATTGTTGTACCTCAATTCTAGATAAATCGGCTTCAACATCATCCTTCCTCATCAACCTTCCTTCAACATCATCTTTTTCTTGGTCGGCCTACTGATCTTCTACCATCTGGTGTTTCAAAAATCAGTGTCTTTAACACTATATCATCCTTTAATCGTACCACGTGACCTGCCCATCTTATTCGGTTTGCCTTGATATGTCTAACTTTGTTTTCAGTTTCATACAGAGTCACCAATTCAGCATTGCGGCGTCTTCTCCAATCCCCTGTGAATTCATCTCTCATTTTTTTTCCAATGGCTTTCTTGACTGCTTGTTCTATAACTGATCCAACTTGCTGCCATGCTTGTTCTAACTCTACATTATGCTCTTTCTCTCCCAGCAATAGTTCTTTATTTGGTGTTCGTAGGGCTTTCATGTTCTATATTTCTCTTTTATCTTGTTGTTCCAGTTTCTTTATGGATAATCGCGTTCTTAACTTAGATTTCAACAGAGAGTGATCGCTATCGCTGTCAGATCCCGTGATATTTCGCGAATTAATAATGCTATTAGTGTCTTGTGTCAATGAGGACATGATTTATTTGATTTCGTGTTCTTCCATCATTTAAAACCCATGTGACCTTGTAAATGTCCTTTCTCTCGAATTGGGTGGATTTAACGCTCATGTTATTAGATATTGAGAATTGTGTTAGCCAGTGTCTATTATCATTTGTTGTGTCGTGCAACCTATGCTTACTAATTACTTCTCTTAAATAATCTTCCTTACCTAGTTTAGCGTTGCAATCTCCCATCACTTACCAAAACTTATTTAATCAGAGGTATCCTCAGTTGCCTAATATTTCACAATGTACTGTGTCTAAAATTTATGCACAATTCAGAGAACTTAGATATGTTAAACCGTTAAAAAGAAAATCGAACTTCATTGAAGATGAAGTGAAAGTGGATATTTTGTTAAGTGTCGCAGAGAATCCAACGTCAAGTTCACGTCAAATTGCACGTCAAAATAATGTGAGTCACACAACTGTCCTAAGGTGTCCCCATGACGAAAACTTCATCCATATAAATTGACATTTGTGCAGAAGCTAACAGAAGACGATCCGGATCGTAGAATGGATTTCTGCAAAAGAATGGATAAAATTAACAAATGAAATAGCTCTTGGCACAATTCTTTTTTCCGATGAATCAAAATTTACATTGAACGGAGAGGTAAACTGACAAACATTGGATGCGTGAGACACACACTCAGTATTTAAAAAAGTTGAATGTTTGGGCAGGTATTATAGATCATATTATTGGTCCTATATTTATAGATGATAATTTGACAGCGGGAAAATATTTAAACATGCTAAGAGACGATGTTCTATCTTAGTTGGCTAACTTATATCCCAATCCAATAGATCCGACCCTAACGCAGGAAACTGTCTGGTTCCAGCAGAACGGTGCAACATCCCATTATGCTTTAATGGTGAGAAATTACTTGAATGAAATCTTCTTCAAGAAACTCAAGAACAAAGGGTTATCTCAAGAACAAAGTATATGCAACACAATCAACTATCATTGAAGACCTTAAAAAGTAAGGATAACTACAGAAATACGGAATATTTCACCTCAAACTTTAAACAAAGTTCGGAACGAGTTTTATAGGAGACTGTGTTAGTGCCAACAACAAGGTGGAGAACATGTTGAGCATTTATTTTAATGTAAGCCAATCAATTACCTCGGGTATTCTATGAATTCATTGTCTTGAAGAAAATACCTAATTTCAAAATTTCACCTTGTATTATTCATAATAGACCCTACATGATATAGTTCTTTGAAATCGGGTTGTTAAGGAGCTTTTAAAAACATGAAAATATACAGGGTGTTTCATTTAAAATACAGATTATGAACTATGCCAGACTTGCATTGATCACCCTGTACATTCAAATTTATACCTCAAAAGCGTACATTTAAATTTAAAAGTTAAGGTATCTCAACGTTTTTTATTATTTTCTAAAATAAGGACACAAACAATTTTGTTCCATAAGTGGTTTCCACACTGTATATCTCTAATAGTTTGTAGATGACAGAGAGAAGCGCAATTGGTCTGTAGTTTCTTAGGTTGTCGGCGGCTTTGCCTGTCTTTATTATGGTTATTATCTTAGAGTGCTTTAGTTCTTGTGGAATTTTGCCAGTTTCCATGATGTCTGAGAAAAATCAAGCCAACCAAACTTTTGTATACTTGCCACAATTTATTAGGAATTTAGGGTGAATATTAAATCCTGGTGCTTTTGCTGACTTAACGTCTTTAAGAGCCTCTGTCTTCGCTGGTAAAGGGGAGGGAATGCTGCGTTTCTATTGCTACATGTTTTAAACTTTTAAGTTCTTTCTTTAAGTAGATGGTGTGTGCTTTATCCTTTGGTGTCCTAAATGTTTTACTATATGATGCTACCGCATCTGGCTTTACAGCTGCCTCTCGGCGTTTCGTACGGACACCACTCTTTTATTTTCTTAGTAATGACCATGCCTGTAATTTACCAGAAAATATTTGAGAAAGTGCAATAAAGACAACAGAAACTTTATGCCTCTTCAGTTCAGACCCTTGTACGACATATAGTATAAAATATTTGTTTAATGAAAATTAAGAATAAAATAGCTTACATAAATGAGACCATAATATTGGCTTACTTTCAGAAATGAGTATGTTAATGTTGTTTTTTTTTGTTTAGTTTACTCTTCTGATTAAATTATTATAGCCATAAAGGTACTCTTTAAATTCTTGTGGACTAAATATTCCATTTTGAAAATGCTGATATTTCTCATTTTTGTCGTCTAATATCGTTTTTTTAGAATAAAATCTAAAGGATACATTCCGAAAAAGTACAAGGTTTTTGGAAGCGGATCAGGATTTAAATTTTGTCAATTATTAAGGTTAAAAAATGTTAGTTCTATAGCATTTGCTTTTTTTTCTTATACGACAGGGTGTTAGGAGCCATAACGTTCGCTTATTGTGCCCTAGGATATATGAAGTGTGTTTATGGTAACCGTATTTAGGGTAAAAAAGTATAATATGCAAGTTAAAAAGAAAAAATAAAACAACGTATTTGTTTGCCAAAAGTAGTATTTTTGGTGGAATTAAGGCTACAATATATATGCCTTAGGATACAATAAGGAAAGCGAAAGGCAAAGCTTGGGCTTCCTTCTATTGGTTTACAAATCCAAATATATATATAATACTAGTTAATTTTTCTTTTTTACACCATTGGTTAATATTTCCGAATATTGGCATTAGCGAAATCAACGATAAATTTAATTTTGTTGGAAATGTCGCTAAGACTATGTGTTTTCTACAGAACTCTGGTTAAGAACCTATAATATTTTTGCTCATATTCGTTTTAGGTTGGTGATTCGTATTTTATTAATTTTGAATTTTTTTAAATTTTAAACAAATATAAAATACGTAAATAAAATAAACTTTTTTTAAACTTTCAGAGTGCTACATCCCAATCCAAACATGCCGCCAGATTCCTCAGGTTGGCCATGGCCAGTATTATGGATATTCTGAAGATTAAACCCTTCGTAGAAGTATCAGTTGAACAGTTGCTTTGGGGTTATGAAGATCCCTTACTTAAATTGGCTAAAGACGTTGTTCCTAAAGAACAGAAATTACCCTACGAAGAATTCGGTCTTCTTTATAAGGTAAGTTAAAATTTAATTTACGTTACGGCCTATAATTACACTAATTTTATGTTTAGCGTACGAATCATAGTTAATTGCTGCATAGGTATTAAAGAAATTATGACACCCTATCTACTCTGTAAAAACTATGATTACTTTAACTTAAATTACCATTTTGCTTTGGTTTTTTGGAGCAATTTTATGAATACCGATAACACAGGCCTACATTTTTATTTTCATGAAAAATTGTTTTAAGTTGAATAAGTGTCCTATAGTAAATGGGATGTGCTGACTACGAAACTGTACTTTTTCCAGCACGTCAGGTTTTCAAAAAAAGTGTGTTTGAAATTTTTCATAGAAACTCAAAAATACTGAGAAAATATTTATTGAAACCTTATTTAATATAAAATTACACTACAAAATTGAGTTTAAAAAAAAAAGAATTCAGTATATAACCTATGTTAGACAATATTTGTTTTTTTTTTTTAATAAAACTGTTTTCTTTTTCCAGGAAAACTGCATTTTGTGGTGTTCTTTTTAGGATTTTTGTGATTGATTCTCTCTTCAACGTTCAACAGTAATCAGCCATCATTCTTATATCCCATCTTCTTTGGTAACGTCTCTTCATCTCCTTTATTTCTTGATAGAACCTTTCTTCCAGTTCCTTGCCGACAGCTTCAGGATTTTCGGGAAAATAGCCAACGTGGGAATCCAAAATGAAGTTTGACGCTCATATTGCATCCCAGTTTTTTATAATTTTCGTTTATGTTAGCTACAATTTTTTCATGAAGAAAGAGACTTGTTGTTTCCAATGATTTTAAGGTTCGAATTTGATGGCCTACAAAAATTCTTAAGTTTAGCTTCAAAAAGTGCAGGAAATTTGTCGCACAGATATTTAAACAGTCACACTATTTATCTAAAGTTTTGACAAACTGCTTTATTAATCCTAACTTTATGTGAAGAGGAGGCAAAAACATTAATTTTGGGTCAATTAGTGTATCACGTTGCACATTTTTTGTCCCGGTACTAGTCTTTCTCTGAGTGGCCACTCTTTCTTAACGTAATGTAAATTTCGTGCTCTAGTGTCCCACTCACATAAAAACACGGATACTTTGTGAATCCAGACTGCTAACCCAAGAGCATGTATATTATTTTGAGGTCTTCACAGAGTTGCCAACAATATTCGCTATACTTTATTTTATTAGAACAATATTATGACAATACACCCGTGAGCGCTTTTAAGAAAAATATTCCGCGAAATCTTTTTCACGATGCCTATACTACGAAAATGTGGTACCTGGAGCCATAGATTTTTATCAGTTAGTCGTGATAATAAGATTTGTGCAGCATCTTTCGATAGGCCCAAGTAGCAGTCGTCTCCATGGGTTTTTAGTTTCCTCCATACCACTAAAAGCACACTTTGTGTGGAGCCCAAGGTTGGTCCTGATCACTAAACTTTACAAGCACCAATAAGGTACTTGCTAGCGCTAGTATATAATATTATCTCACAAAGTTTTTTCAATTTTGTGAAAATTTTGACGTGACGGGCAGTGTTGCCATTTAAATGAAATTAACATAATAATGTATTAAAATATTTTCTATCGATCTATCAAGTATTTTAAAGAAATAATTTTAATGCAATTTACGAAATAACAATAAGGTATTTGTTTGCACTACACATAATATCTCACAGGGTTTTGTTTCATTTTGTGAAAAATTTGGACGTGATGGGCTTAAACCGAATTCATATATAGAATCAGCGTACCCGTATTTGCTTAAGGACACATGTCAAACTCAAAACACCAAAAATCTTGTCGGCCTGTGTAATGTATTTTGTTCATTACACGAAATATAAATATTATATTCTAATTATTCCAAAATTGTAGTTAATAAAAACTAGAAAAGTTTAAATAACGTCAATGATTGTAAAATAATTTTCGAGCTAGATCCAGAGTGTTAATTAATCAATGCCACAATCATATATATATATATATATATATATATATATACAGTGTAGGTAAAATTTTATGGTCGGTATGGTAAAATTTAACAGGATATCTAACGCAGATATAAAATCATATTTTTAGCGAATTAGACAAAGATAACAATCATATTTCCCCTTCGTCTCCCCTCCTAAAATCCTTTTAACACTCATTGGCCATTGCCCATTAGTAGGACGATTAGTTCCGATCAGATATTCTCTGATTCCGATCCTAATATACCTGAAAAACTAGAGGTGGGTCCTCTCGTTTTTTTAATTTTTATCGGAACCGTTTTTCGTAAACTGTAACTAGTTGATTGTTTACCAGTATTCAAATTAGCGAGTACACAAACATATTGGCTATTATCGTTTATGTGTATAAGTATTGAAATAAAAGAACCTAACGAAGGATATATTTATTTTAACTTGAAAAATAAATTAAATAATACAAATGGTACTTAAATACTTACATTTACATTACACATTATTAAATCGCGAATCGTCTAAATTGATATTTAACAACATAAGTTTTTTCACTTTTCTTGTTAACCGCGTTCTTCTTTTATTTAAAATTATACCAGATGGTTAAACATGTGTTCACAAGGAAAAGATTTTGTTACAATACTACAACATTTTATGAATATAGTGGTTAAGTTAGGATATACATGGCGATGGTTTTGTCACCACGGTAATGGACAGTTCCAATCTCCGTTCGAAATTTTTTGTGGGTAATATATCATCAGACAATTACATGTCGACTTCTTTTATACCTCTCGATACAGGTGTATGTTTAGATGAGTCATGTCCAATTAATTCATCAAAATACACCATGGACTTAATTCATCTTTATCAGTTTCTTTTTCTTGGACTGATTGATTTTCAAGATTTACTAAACTTTTCGTTTCATCCGTTTTCCATAGGTAAAGAACCAGCTTTTAAAAAGTTTACAGGGTGGATTCCTGGATATAAACCGCCAACAAGAATAACTTTGTCAGGTTCATTACTTCAGGAATGTTATGTCAAAAGTGAGCAAATTATTAGATCACAAGTTGTTAAAGAAGTAGAAAATATCTGTATTACTACTGACCTCTGGACATCTGGAGTAACTGAGAGTTACTTCGCATTAACAGGACAATATTTAACCGAAAATTTAGTACCTATTCAAAACGGTTTTATTAGGCTGCTGCCATTTTTCTGGAAATCATAATCCAGAAAACAGCGATTACTGAAATTATTAATCAGTGGGGTCTAAAACGAAAAGTAAATTTTGCAGTAACTGATAATTCCTCAAATATGGTCAAAGCTATTAAATATGTTTTGTTTTATGATGATTGTGATTTATGATGATGATTAAATTTATTGGTGGAGGACGCACTTAAATGCTGTCGTGTACAAATAGATAAAATAAAAAGTCCTTTTTTCGACAATTCTGCAAAAAAACACATTTCAAAAAAGTACCTTATCTTCAGAAAGGCTTTTAAAGTATTAATTACAACATAACACAGTTCCCAAACGGCCAATCCAAGACGTGGAAACTAGGTAGAACTTCACCTATTACATGTTAAAAATAATGACCGAGTTAGAAGAGGCAACCCGTTCCACATTGGTATTAAATAATACAGATTTAGACTTAGAGTAGACTAAAGTAGAAAAACTTATGTTTTTTATGTCAATTTAGACTATTCGCGATTTAATAATAACGTGTAATGTAAATGTAAGTCCGATTTACTATTTGTATTGTTTAGTTTATTTTTCAAGTTATAATAAATATATCATTAGTTTCTTTCACTTCAATAGATATACACATAAACGATAATAGCCGTTATGTTTGTTTATGTAGGTACTCTCTTACTTGAAACTACTTTTAAACAATCATAGTTACCTGTTTATGAAAATTAAAATTTTTAAATGCTTTCAATTTTTTTTGGAATCCTTAGAAAACTAACAAATATTTTTGAAAAATTTAAATGCAGAATGAAAGATTACATTATTACCGAGGGCCGAAAGTCCCTTAAAATAAACAAAAAGTTTTGTAATGAAATATTTGAAATTAAAAATCACACTAAATTTTGTTTTTTTTTTTCATCCCTATAACTTATTAAAATAAACATTATAGAAGTTTTCAGGGACTTTCGGCCCTCGGTAATAATGTATTGTTTCATTCTGCGTTTAAATTTTTCAAAAATATTTATTAGTTTTCTCAGGATTCGAAAAAAATGAATGCATTTAAAAAACATTGGCCCTAAATTTTGCTCCTACGCTCTTAACGGTAAACTAGCACGACCCACCTCTACTTCTCGTTACTCGATCTTTTGACCAGACGACTATCTAGACTAGACGTTGCCAAATAATTAGTGTACGAATATTTTTTAATGTGGCGTTATTGTATGCATGTTTAATAATTGTTTATTATTTCATATTGGGAAATTATTTTGATGTTTAGATTTTTAGTTCGGAAATCGTACTTAAAATACGAAACATTAATAAATTTTATTTATATAAAACGATTTCCGAAATGGAAATCAAGATGTTATGATACAATTATTGTAAAGAAAACTTGTGGCATATTCACAATAAAAAAACAGTAACCTGCCATTTAAATCAATTTCGCCCAAATTTGATTATCTTGAGCATTTTATCTTCTTGATGGAACATTGTTCAAATGCAAAAAAGACAACAGGTCAAATAAAACCGATAAGTTTGGCAACGTTAAACTTCCCCTTTTTTATTATTTCTAGGCATGAAGGTTCGGCCATATAAAGGGCGTACCTAATTTACCTCTCTCTTTTTAAACAGCTGTTTCTCACTCCATCTCACGTAAGGTCCATACCGACCATAAACTTTTTCCTATACTGTATATTTATGTTCGGAAAGATTTCCGCGGTTAGTACAATATATATATATATATATATATATATATATATATATATATATATATATATATATATATATATATATATATATATATATATATACATATATACAACTAGTTTTAAATGGACACGTTACTGAGCAAGTTTCTAGAAACAAATATCCTGGA